TCAGATGCAAACACATTTTACATTTAAAAAATGTAAAATTAGGTTGTCTGGAATTATTATGAATTTTGATTTTGATTTATATTCACTGTAAGATTAACAATAGAAATTTTAATGTTGGCCTATGCCACTTTTGGCCCCGTCCAATCAGAAAAATGTATTTTGATGACGTCATGGAAAATACAAAAAGTTTTCCACAGAAGTTCTTTTGTCCCAAACCTCCTTAAACATTTCAAAATTAATTTGTAATTTTACTGTTCCGTGGTATTACAATGAAAACTGACATCATCCAATCAGAAAATAGTACAAAAATGACGTCACATAGATTTGAAAATGCTTTTATTGAATTCTACGGGTATGAAAACCTCTAGATAAGTCTTGTATTCGCTTAGATTAGCTTCTGTAATGAGTAATTAATTTTGGCACAATTTGACTTCAATCTGGCCCACTGTGCGGCCCTGAGCCGACGTAACTCTCAAGTGCGGTGATTGGTCTTATTTTTGCCCTTGTGGCGAATTGATGAGTGTCTACAATACATGTGATTGCAACACGCTTTGCAACATAATACTGCAGGAGTTGTGTGTAGGATGATGGTCAATGAAAAGTTTAGGCTTGTGATGTGTATGAAAATGGTAATATTTTATTTTATCCATAGAAAAATGTTTTTATTTCTTAACATTAGAAATTGTCTTTATGGTTTAACAATAAGAAAATTGAAGTTCAAGAATAATTCGATACCGTATTGGAGCATGTTTATTCCATGTTGATTCCCAATTGAAATCACTAAACCATACAGTTGAAATTTAGCATTCTTGTTAAAACCGTGCCTCCATGATAAAACAGTGGCTCCATATCTACCACAGTGCGCGAACACCAGTACAGGTCAGTCAACTCAACTGTTATGTCAGCAAACTGTGTATACTGCACCTGCGTGTATGCTTTATTTTTAGAAATTGATTTTTAGAAATTGACCAAGATCTTGGGTATTTTGACTTGGTCTTGGGTTCAAGATTCAAGATTCAAGATTCTTTTATTGTCTGAAATAAAACTCAGAAATTGCAATCACTGGCAAGGTAACAAGTGTAAATATCATATAATAAATAAAGAAACAATTACAAAAATATAGAAAACTAATTAGCACCAAACAAAATTATCTAGTCAAGATGAACATGTAAAGAAAATTAAATACAATTACACGTTAAACTTAAACTAAAACTTAAACACATCAAACTTACTACTGTACTAATAATTAAAACTACAAATTATCTATTAATATTGTTATTATAAAGGTGAATGGAGTTAGGAACAAAGGAGTTTCTATAACGGCAACGTGTGGTGGGTGGTACATTTAGACGGAAACCTGAGTTGTTAAAAGTAAATTCATTATGTAGTGGATGAGTTGTGTCGTTCATTATTTTCTTAAGTTTAGCTAGTGTGTATTTTTCATAGATATAATCTAAAAGTATAATGTCGTCTTTAACAATTTTCTTAACAGTCTTCCTGATGGAGTGTAATTTTTTTTATATTTTGTTTAGTCAGGTTTTTATATGTACAATTAAGAAAACACTCTGTATTATTGCATTGTAAAACAAGATAAGAATGGTGTTGTCTACATTAAGCTTCTTAAGTTTTCTTAGAAAATACAATCTTTGCTTGCCTTTTGTCATAGTAATCTTAGTTCGTTTATCCCATTTGAGCTTATTATCAACAACAGTGCCTAGGTATTTATAGCTTTCAACCTGTTCAACTTCCTGATTATCTATGTACAATATATCATGAGCATTGTTTGTTTTGCGGAAATCAAAGATCATTTCTTTGGTTTTTTTAGTGTTCATTTTAAGATAATTTAGCTGGCACCATTCAGAAAATCTTTTAACTTCATCAAAAAAGTTAGTTTCATCATTATCAAGAAATCCACTAATTACTAATTACTAATTAATTCTTGGGTAAGAAAAAACTGGGGGAATAAGGTGTGAAAATGGGCAGTTACGCCCCTTTTTCCCCCAGTTTTTAAATACTCAAAAATCTGTATCTCATTCACCGTTCCCCATTTTTTCGTCAAACAACTTTTTTCTGTCTTAGAAAAATCAGTTCTACAACATATCAAAATTTTTTTTTCCTCCGGAGCCTGACTTTAAGAAGTAACAAAGTATATTTCGGTCCAACATTACATTGTTAATTGACTGTTAATTGCTATAAACATGGGTTCAGAATTGTGATTTGCGTTGCCATTGATCTTACCTAATTAATGCATTACATAATAAAACCTGATCTACTGAAACACTGGCCGACTGAGGGCGTATTTTTCTATCCATATTATCACCTCATGAATATTAATTTAAATAATTAACACAAACAATTACAATAACAATTGGTTTATAAATTGAACTAAAAGGGAAACTTATACATGCGAAAACACATATTTTTCAAATTTTAATGCATTTTCAGGAAGCTTGGGTTTTTTGGGGCAATTTTTGCTGAATCTTGGGTAATTTCGACCCAGTCATTGGGTATATCAAAAATTGTGAGTGGTCACGCTGGGTGGCATGCTTGTGCGTTCAGATTGAGTATATCGTCATCATAACACTGAGTGTAAAATTTGATTTTTGGGAAGAAAGCTTACATATGGGAAGTTTCTATTTACAGTTGTCTTGACGACGGTTGTCTGCTCACTTGACTGTTGTCTCTTTTTTTTATTTGGACCACTATAATTTATTCAGGCCCGTAGCCAGGTCATTTTAAGGGGGGGTTCTCTGGGCGTGGGGTCCAGGGGCCTGCCTAAGGGCCACGGTGGGAAGCCAGAGCAGTTTTTGTGTTTAATTGGTCTATATAATGTTTTAAAAGCAGTTATGTTTTGAAAAAGATCTATGTAATAAAAAGGTGGTAATATAATAAAATTAGAAAATATTTTCTGAGAAATGGTATGTTTAAATAACACCGAAAGATATATAAAAAACCCTCATCGCATAATCAATATCAATATACTGAACACATTTATTATTATAAAACAAAAAAAAAGCTATTCCTCTTCTTCCTCCTCTTCCTCTTCTTCTTCTACTACTTCTTCTTGACTCTCATTTTGTACACTGAAAATAATAGTACTATTTTACTACATGGCTAAAAAAAGCACAAATATTGTCATTACTACTGACAGGGCCATCGTTTTAATTAAATACACATCTAGATGTGTATAAGAGACAGAAATATAGCATCATATTCAATACGTTATCTGACATCATGAGAACCTAAACTTTAATACAATTATTTGTTATATACTAGGCCTAATTCGAAATTATTATTTTAAGACTTTAACATAATAGGCTACATACCGATTAATAATAGCTGAGATTTAATGCACATTTTAGAATTATTAATCGTTTTTATTATATCTTCCTGAATATTTATTGTCTGCCAAATGAAATATGAATTAGCCTATATGTGGCAAAGACAAGCCAAACCAGTCACTCGTCGCAATTCGTGTTTCAGAGAAAATGCCAAAACATGCTGGAATGTCAAATTTTTAAAAATCTATTTTATTGCACTAAACTAATCTTTACATATCTATACATCATTCTATGCACAAATGGACCAGATTTATGTAATGCGTGCCTGTGTGTTAAACTAATTTTGGCAAACAAGCAAGCATAAACCTTTTCCATATTGGTCTGAATTTTGGTGCTTAGTTTAGTTTTGAGCATCTTCTTGATCCATATTTTTGGTGATTTTGTTTTATGAACATATGTAGCACACTTTATTGAAAAACTTGACAAGGCCCACATGGCCCGACAAGTAACACATGCCTGGCACGCACAAGTAAGTACCAGGTATGACACCATGGTATACCACCACCAAACCTTACATTATTTTAAATTTTTTGTTTATTGTCTGTTTTATTGATGAATATTAAAGCAGAATGAGGTAAATCAAATTCTACATTTTTTAATGCTATTAATCATTGATTGTCATTATGCACTGACACATTGACAGAATAAATATCTGAATCTGAATCTGAATCAAAGGTCATCAGATATCATCTGTACATGCCCTGTCTCTTATACACATCTACACTGTATTAATAACTCAAAATCAATTTTTGCGACGAGTGACTGGTTTGGCTTGTCTTTGCCACATATGCATCTTTATAAATAAAATTTCTACAATATTAATCTTGTTTTAATATAGATAAATGTTCGATAAATTCTATCTTTCATTAAAAAAAAAATAGATAAAAAAAAACCAAAATTCAGCGTGTCTATTTTCATTCTAATCAATGGCCTTTGTAAATGTGCACTGACGTCAACGTCGAATTCCAGGACTTTCATTCTGTAGTGTGTGTCTGCTGTTAAAAACAAACTTCCTAGCCTAATTTTGTGACTGGCTATGCTGAGATGGACCATGTTGATTTATTAATAATATTTCGTTTGAGATGGAAAGAAGGCGAGTCAATTTCCCCAAAATGCTCCATCAGCACATAGTTTAGTGTGCGCTATGAACAGGCTATGGACCGCACAATCCACAGTCTGGTGATTAAGTCGCAAAACTTTATCTGCATTTGGTGGATGAAGTTGCAAAACTTTAGCTTCGTTTAGTGGCACCATTTACTCTAGGTAGACGGCGACCGGTTTTGTTAACGGTTGGTACATTTCTTACAAACATTCAGCCAAAGGCCAGTGAAAGTTGAGACGGCAGCCGGGTTTTTATCGATATTTGCGATCCTTATGTGTGTCATGATACACTACAATAAATACTCTGCATATTCTGCATACTGAAGGGCATAAGATTAAAAAAAAAAAAAAACTCCTTATATTAGGCCGTAGACACACGCTCCTGCTGGGAGACTATGTTTTATATCTGTGTTATCCAACAGCATGTAACTTGCCAATCACAGGATGAATGATGCTTTTTAAAGTCTCTTTTAAAATTAGTCGAAGAAAAAGTCTGTTGCATAAACAATACACAATTCTGTACAAATGTAATAATTGATATTTCTTTTTTTTTTTCAGCCCGCTGCTTGGAAGCTACATCATCTACATGTAACATATACTTGGAATGGGTACTTGGATACTCTGAATGTGACAACGCATTTGAGGAAATGTATACTTATGTGAGAGCTTAGCTCAGTTGAGATACTGGTTTTTTTTAGCAATCACTGTGCTTTTGTGCTGAACAGTTGAGATCTTTTTTAATAGACCATTATTTAATAATAATAATAATAATAATAATAATAAATTATAATTAAACTTTAAACTTTTTTAATAAAGCCCATTGGTTTCTGTTTCAACATAGTACACTACTGGAACACAGCTCAGCAAGAGATTGTCATCTGGTGTACTGCCTAATTCGCTACCAAATAGCCAAATACCTTCCCGTATGATTATAGCCTTAATAAAAATTAAGACCTATTTGAAGCATACCTAATGGTAGAATTTGCATTCCAAATCTCCTAAGGAGAATGGTGTCTTTATTATACTTAGGCGAATAACATCCAGGTTTTCATAATTATTGACTCTAATGGTTTTCTATTTTTTATTACAGGATACTATGACTGACTTGTTGATCAGCCCAGAGAAGTCGTTATCAAATATGGGGAACAAATTTAGTTTTCAGAAATCTACAAAGAAACTGAACAAAACGTGTGATAATAAAGCATTTTTTAAAGTAAGTTTAATGGTTCAAGTAATATATTGTATGGTAGGCCTATGGTATTTTATACTTTATGTTTTTTATAAAAGAAAGAAGAAAAGGTGAATATTAAATTAAGAAAGATATGATATTAATTGTTATTTTTAATTTAATTATTTTAAGACATTTTATACTTTTAAGTAACTTTTATACATCTTAAATGTTGTACATCACTAGCAATTCAGACTTGTCATTGCTATTTTTGATTTGAACAAATTGAAATTGAACTGAAAATGAGTTGTCTAAGTGGAAGGAAGCCAGTGGAGGGTCTTGTGCAGATGACACGGCCATTTACTATGCATCTCATGATGATCAAAAAACAAAATTCATTAGCAAGTAACAAACTTAATTTAAATGTTAAACAGAAAGTATGTTTATTGGAAGATACCAAAATTGGCCAAATTTATTTATTTATTTATTTAAAAAAAATTTATTTAAGCACGCAATACACATGTGCCAAGGATTGTCAGTAGCGAATATATCACTGTCCTACTTGTGGGTGATTATCACTTACACAAGACAAACATATACACATGATACTTTACACAAACTAAATCTCAATATGAGATTTAGGGAGTGGACTTTCTGGTCGTGAGAAAAAAATCCTGCAACCCTGATAGGAAGTGAACCCAGGGCAAGGCAAGGCAAGCATCTTAACCACCAAGCTATTTAACTCCACTCGTATAGATACTGTACTGTAGGGATCCTAACATATCGATGGTGTTGAACAGATTTGTGGTTAACTTAGGTTAATAGTAATATTATTAGGGAGGACTATTTTTAGTCATGCCTAACTAGTTGATGGGAGTGACTCAGTTTTTTGGCTCCAAAAATAAGAACATTTGATTGGTTGAAATTGTTTATTTCGGTCCGCCCATTTATCCAAATACGGAATATAAGATTACGTCATTCTTTTGGCATCTTGGTGCCTGCATTCAGTGTTTTTCAAGTGGTATAATCATCTATAAATAAACCTTCTCGTTGGTGGCGCTGTCACGGATGAGAAAAATAATAAGAAATAAGAGACTTGTGGCATGTATTGACCTTGGTGCATGTGTTGTGCGCTTAAATATGTAAATAATGGCCATTTCTAAAGTGCGGATTCTGCGGATTCAGGTAAAAATAGCATTAAAAAATAGGCCTATAATATTATTATAATATTATTATTATTAATATAATATTATTATATTATTATTATTAATATTATTATTATTATTATTATTATTATTATTATTATTATTTGTTGGTATCATATACTGAGAACCTAGTCCGCAGAATCCGCATTTTAGAAATGGCCATAAGTAATTAATTAAAGAAAATGTTTTGAGTACAAAACTTTTCAGGTAATTGAAACTTGGTCATGGGATAAGCCAAGGAGGTTAAAATAAAAGGATGGGGAAAATGGTTGTGAGTCTATATCCACCTCAACCGCACCACGAAAATTTGAGGAAATGGTATATCTAGGTGGCTGGAAAGAACACTAATGAAATTCATAATCATCACATCATTTTAGTCAAAATGAAGCACCAACAAATTTCCTTATGTTCTTTTACAGCATCAGCAACTTTTAATGTCCTAGTTTCATGGCATTATTACATATTTATAAAGTTGTAAAAAGTATTTTAATATAACAGCACAGAAATAGCTTTGGTAGAGTTTTCTGGTCATAAAAAAATTTTGATATCTAGTACAGTAATTTTGTTTTACCTTATCGATTGCAAGGATCAAGCAGAAATTGCTCCGATAACATTTTGCTCAATTGTGAACACCACCACTGAACCTAAATGTAGAGAATTAGATCGACAACCAGTTTCTGACACAGGTGAAACTTCGAATGAACGGAAACCAGGCAAACCATCAAAGGAGACACGACATAGAAGAGTAAGTATGAAGACAGTTTGGTTATTAATGCTGGAGCATAGCTTGAACAAATGGACCAGATTTATGTAATGCGTGCCTGTGTGTTAAACTAATTTTGGCAAACAAGCAAGCATAAACCTTTTCCATATTGGTCTGAATTTTGGTGCTTAGTTTAGTTTTGAGCATCTTCTTGATCCATATTTTTGGTGATTTTGTTTTATGAACATATGTAGCACACTTTATTGAAAAACTTGACAAGGCCCACATGGCCCGACAAGTAACACATGCCTGGCACGCACAAGTAAGTACCAGGTATGACACCATGGTATACCACCACCAAACCTTACATTATTTTAAATTTTTTGTTTATTGTCTGTTTTATTGATGAATATTAAAGCAGAATGAGGTAAATCAAATTCTACATTTTTTAATGCTATTAATCATTGATTGTCATTATGCACTGACACATTGACAGAATAAATATCTGAATCTGAATCTGAATCAAAGGTCATCAGATATCAACTGTACGTGCCTGTTGTATATCACATGAAATGAGAGGTCAATTCCAAGCCTTTGCACTGTGGGTGCTATAGTGGCCTAAATTTTCTCTGATAAGAAACATAGTGATTGTTCTGACCACATTGAGCACAGCCATCTTGAATGTGATTGGTTATAATGATATAAAAACATCCTAGTGTCTGTATAATATAACCAAACGATTAGTAAAAAGGTGCGTTCACTGATACGGCTTTGTGGAATTCACTGCGGTACCTTAGACTATCTTTTTAAGTACATAGCCTCTGTTGTTTCAGGCAGATAAACATTACATACAGTACACCCCTTAAAGGCATAATTACTGGATGTCGGTGAGGATGTGATCTACTACATTAATGTTATTCATTCATTCATTCATTATTAATTTAGCCTTATAAAAATCACAATACAATTTTTTATATAGTCAGATATAACTAAAAAAAAAAAAAAAATTAACAATACAAAAAAAAAAAAACAAAAAACTGTAAATCTAAGGAGGATTAACAAAATCAATTAAAATCAATTCTGTTATAGTGAACATAATATGCCTTTGTATCAGCTGCACTCTCTAAAGTGGTACGTTCCGCTTACCTATACTGTACTCAGTATTACTCTAAAATCTTTCCACGTAATTTTAATTTGATTAATTCTCACATGTGTTGCTTTAGTAGTACAAATCCTCATCAAATGTTTTGTAGATTTGTGTTATTGTAAAATATTTTTTAAAGATATTTTAATGGACATAAATAATAATAATAATAATAATAATAATAATAATAATAATTGTCTACATAGCGCATAATGTAAAATACGGTACCTTTATGCACCTTATAGCATGTTAAAAGAATGGTGTTACGATAAATTTCTTCCAGAGCTGTGCACATGTCTGGGCAATTAATTGTCAGAAAAATTTTGTCCTTATTCAAATTAGTATAAGATTATTCCATGAGCGTTCTCTTGGAACAGGTACTGATGTGCTACAAATGCTGTATATTATTATTAATATTAAACTATTTTTATGCATCTTTCCTGGAGCATGAGCAATATCTACATATGTGTTGGGCTCCAGTGTCATTCCCTCTAGAAATTCCTGAATGAGATTTTCATAGTTTCTGATGAATGAGAATTGGAGCTATAGATGGTGGGTCATCCCAACTTCGGCTAAGGTATGCAATTTGAAAAAAACAAACAAAACATATTAGATGTCATAAAGAGTTTCTTATGCAACCTCATCTAATTATAATTTGAAGGCATAGAGAAGTAATTTTCAGTCTTGATAGATAATTTGCTTGATTTGATGATAATTGTGAAAACATTTATGTCTCCAGAATGAACAGGGCTCCTCAATTAAGCCTGACACCACATCTAAGCCTATCACCAAGGTATGTAAGTAAAGAAAAAGTTAAATCTTTATCTGTATTATAATTAGGAGGAGTATATACAGAGGAGGTTTTCAGTTTCACAATTTAATGAATGTTTTTTTATTTTATTCCTCCAGAGTGATGAAGTCAACTTAACTACCATGAAGGTATGTAATTGAAAAAAATAACCACATTAGAATGTTATAAAGTTTCTTAAAACCAGCTCATTGCTAGTATGTTATTAAAATGCATTATAAAATTTTCTTCAGTAATAAACAAGAAAGTGAAGCATTTATGGGATTTTTTTGAGGACAGAAATATTCAAAAAACTGATTGTATTAGGTGATTGACTTGTTTGTAAAATAGGCAACCAATTACGAAAACAAGTATATGCCTATACATACTGTACTTGTTAAAAAAATAATCCTGCCTTACTGCACTGTATTTGCCAGAAAAAATATGAAAAATATATAAATATGCAGAATAAAAAGTTAACAATAGAAAAATTACTCAACAAAGTAATCAAAATTTCTAAATTCATTATTAGAAACTAAAAACATCAACTTCAGGACAAGTATTAACAAAATAATTATAATACAGTACTGTATTTTGTATATTGCATAGATATTTTTGTACTATTAAGAGCTGATGAAAATATTAGTTATAAAAACCATATCGTGTTGATAAATGGTTAACAAATCCATTCTTGCAAATTAGAAAAAGAAACATCCAAAATGTGTATATAGCGGCAACAGTGAATAGGAACATTAATATTGAAGACTAAATTACAAATAAAGAGATTTTTTTAATAAGAGAAATTTAATTATGGTACTTTCTTCTGACAAAAGAGTAATGTTGTTTAATAATTAATATTTTAATACATGACAAGCGCTACGAGGATCGGAAACGTTATATTTCCCCCTAGGGAAATATAACTTGGAAAAGTGACCGGTCTCTGACGTCACCAGATTACACCCACATTTGCGCCCGTAGTGAATGCTAGTCGAGCACTATGGAAGGCAATCACCGCCAAAAATACAATTTTAGACAATAAACGTGCTTTCTCAAACAAACAACGTAAATTTACAAATAAAAAATGTATTTTAAAAATCAACAACATACTTTTACAAACAAAAAACGTTCTTTTTAAAACAAACAAAGTATATTGCCAAACGATGTATGTTAACCGGTGAGCCCAACTAGGCCTTTTGGAAAAACTGCAATCGAAGTATTCCAACCCCTCACAGATTCGTCTTTGAGGAGTTTTGGCAGATCGATAACCACCCATGACTGGTCTTCTGTGTACAATTTGATTGGTACAAATAAAAAACTGGAATCATTAAATAATATTCTTGCTATTGCACACAAAAAGCATTCCCCTGCAAAACAATTATGTGTATAGATAGGGCTTAGATTACGCCGTACATAATGAAACTAATTAAAGATAGACAAACAACTTTTAATAGCCTCTAAAATCCTGATATTAAATATTAAAATTTGGAGTGGCTAGAAAATGTAGTATTTCCTGAGTAATGCTGAGAGATTGCCAGTGGGATGGGGCTCTAGGACTACAAGTGTTGATGTAGGTCTTGCTGTTGTAAGCCAAAGTTCCAGTTAAAATTGAGATTTCAAAGCTTTCTGCAACAGCCACTAAACCTGAAAATAGACTAAACCTGAAAATAGATATGTATAAGCCTTCCAGCAGTTAAACTGAGATGGCCGACTGACCCCAGATTTTAAAATGTCACTGTGTGTGGGCAACATGAGGTTTTTCCCCATTTATGTGAGGCAGATAGAGGGCATGCTGTTACTATCCCCTTTAAAAGGGCATTTAGGCGGGTTGGTGAACCAGGTTTTGCAAGAGTCTTATCTCAATAATCCAATTAAACATCAAAGAAGAATACCTCTACTTAAAGAGTCCTTATCACAGCAGGCATTGCTGTTTCTCAATGAATTACCCGTATAGTATTTAAAAACCAGGCTGAAAAATTTTAAAAACCTGTTGTTCAAAAATATTTGGGATTTTTATTACCTTAGCTATAATTTCAGGTAAAAATCATATTAGATATGCTTTTCAATTTTAAAAATCAATGACTTATGTTAGAAGTTACAACATGGTTTTTGATTTAATTGTGCTAGTCTTCTTATGAACTATTCACAACTAATGAGCTTTAATGTTAATCTTGTTACAACATTCCCTGAAGCAGTAATTAAGAGAGATAAGAAGAGATTGGCAAAACCTGGTTCAAAAATTGAAAATTTGGTAAATGGTGAAGATTCCTCATGGTAGAAAGTTTTATTCAAGGATGCCTGAGTTTGCTTTGCCTGATAAAATTAAGTTCTTAACTTTTTATTTCTTCAGGATAAAAAGAACCTTTTTATCCTGAAGGTTCTTTAAATATATTTTATTCTTTAAAAGCTGGAACTTTAGAAACATCTACTATAAGGAATATAGAGACAGGAAGGTTTTAATCAAGGATGCCTAACTTTGACATTGTGTTAACAATTAATTATTTCATTTTGTATTTTCCTAGGGTGGAGATACTACAAAAGCTACAATTAAGGTATGTTATTTAAACAAAGCTTTTAGTTTCATAGTTTGATACAGAGTATAACTACTATATTTATTATCTTTAATTAACACCAGTGGAGGTGTCTATACCAAAGTTAAATATTTTGTGATATCACAAAATATTACTGGGTTTAAATATAATATTTTTACTAAGATACATTTTTTTTTATTTGTTTCAGACCAATAGAATCACAAAGACATGGGTAGATGGTCGTTACATTTTAGTGTTTTCTATATCAAGAGATTGTGGAGATACTGAAATTGAAGGTAAGTTGTTGCTTTTTGATGTGCTACATTGGATTATAAATTTTCATTATGGTTCTCATCATAATCATATTGTCATCTCATACTTGTTGTTGGATTGTCATCGTCATCACCTTCATCAACAACAACCTTTTTTTTTTTTTATTCATTTTGACGTATAAAAAAATCTATATGGTAAAGTGAGTCGAGAGGTAGCAAAAGAAGTAAAAAATCCACTGTCGCCACATGAGGTAACCACTGTCGCCAACTTGATGTGCTCAACAAGCACCAAACACATGCAGACTTGGCAAAAATGGAAAAGACAGCAAAATTAATTAATTTTCATTCATTCATCATAATAATAAAAATAACAACAATAATAATAATAATGTATATTGTAATTATACTTATTTCAAAGCCTAAAGTCACAGTGATGTAACCTAGTGGCCGAAAGGAGTGACGAAATTTGGGCCGATCAAGACAACAATGTCCTAGGGGCAAGCCCCCGCGAAATTTTTGTGTTTTAGAAGCCCGAAAATAACATTTGAGGCGTTGTGGGCTATCATTTTTTTCTTTTTCTTTCTTTTTTTCTTTTTTTTTCCTCCCAAAAGGGGGACTGGGGCCGGGCCGGCCCCCTCCCCCTAAATCCGCCCCTGGGTACTTTGGAAGTTCTTGATTTTACTTGATAGATTATTGGACAATACGATTTGTTTTGGGCCACAGTAAAATTAATTTATTGAACGCATTCAAACTTGTACTGCATGATCGCTTTAAGCGCTGGCCAGCACAAGAGATTTGGGATCGCCCACTCCTAAAGGGTTTTATTTGTATGAGTTTTAAACTTTCCTAAAATATATATAATCTCAAGATAACACACCATCATCATGGGTCGGGAGGTAATTTCTTTTTATTTTCCCAATGTTGACACAACTTCACAAACTTGAGATTTTGGATGAATGTCGGTCGTATAAGACATTGATGTATGGTATAATCGCATAAAAGACCATCGGCTAAGGCCTGCTTGGCCAGCCCTGTGCCTAGGCCTATCCAAGCCAGAGTTGGTCTAGGCGACCCTGGGCTAGGCGTCTGCCTGTCATAGGCCTAAAATTGAAAAATACTTTCTTAAACATGTATTTTTAACTAATAGTCCTAGGCCTAATTAATATTAAATTTCAATGCATGTACAGAAAATGAGAATGATCTACAATCCCTACCTACACTAAATGGATTATACAGTAATTACCAATTTTGATGCCTTGGCATATCTTCAGAAATCACTGTTTTAAAATTACAAATTCATTCAAAACAAGATTAAAAAAAAAAATTGGGACGTCTCGATGGCCGGAAAAGGCTGGAATGGGAAAACTAGGCTTATTTTTTTTTTTTGGTCCAACTGCCCGATGAGCTTTGGTTGATGGGGGAAGTTTACTAAACCGATGGGGGCGAGAGGACTTAAGGACTTTTTATTTCAGGCCACGACAGGGCTTCGTCCTGGCCTTGGTTCAGACACCACCATCATACACTTTGGACCTCTTGCCAGAAAATTTCTGGCGCCACCGCTGGGTGGGTTATCTGGTCCTTTTATAAAATATACTCTTTTAAGTTCTTTAAGTTTTAATGCTGATTGTCATTTTCCATTTTAACATTGTATGACCTTCTCTGCTCACTGGGGAGTATAAGCATGTACAGTGGTGATGCCATTGGTGTGGCTGGGAATCGGCCCCTTGGTTCGGACACCCCATTGGACATGTCGGACCCCATGTCAGCATACTGTAATTCTGGAGCCATCGCTGTGCATGTTATGAGTGCCACTGATTCATTCCAAATCATTCACCTCCTACCAGGTTCCAATTTATGCTCCTGGGTGAAGGGAACCAAATGCAGATAAAGTGTACACATAATCAATCGTCATGCAAGTTTATGAACTGCAAAATATCACATTTTTATGTTATTTCTCTTTTAGTCACAGTTGAGTTTCAAAATTCTCATGGTTATCTCTCAGCCAACCAAAGGCCACTTCTTGATGTAAGTCTTAAAATGTATTTATTTAATTTTTGGATATATATTAATGTCATAGTCTAAAATATAAGTCTGTTTCCATGAAGAAAGAATATTATTGATATGTTGTTGAAATCGGTCTACTAGGACATTGATGCATCTTGCAATATCCATTTTAAGTTCTTTTTTATTTATTATTTTAATTATTTATTCAGGTACAAAGAAATTATACAAATGGCAGCCAAAGGCTGAAAAATGAATGTATTTACAAAATATAAGAATATTAAAAATATTATACTAAATTGCAACAAGAAAGGATAAATCAATTAAACTACATATAAATGAAATATCACATTAAAAATTTCTAGACTCAATTGTTATGAAAATATGATAAATACAGATAATATAAGTATATAAAAATTTGAATTATTTCTAATTATTAAATTATTTCTAACATTACAAAATCTAAAAATTAATAAAGTTAGGTACACGACAAATATTGCACATAACAACCACTCATTTATAATTACGACCCAACAACTATTAAAACCACCACTAGACGGGATTGAAAAATAAAAGTAAAAGTTAATGTTACCTGCTAAATAAGCAAATTTCAGTAATTAATGATGTTTAAAGCAAGTTAACATTGTAGGAATAGATGATTTTTTATCTTTGTTTAACATTCATGTTCATTGTTCTTAATACTATAATAGTTACTTTTGAATTGCATATTTGTGACATTCATTTTAGGCTCTTGTTATAAAATTCATGTTCATTTTTTTTGTAACTTTTGATTATTATATTTGCTGTCTGTATAATTATTTTTGCTGTATTTTTGAATCGGGGGTTTTTGGAAAACAGTGCTACAGTAGTCACTGAATAGTCCTACCCTGAGTAAGGAAAGGTTAAATCTGAATTTGAATCTTAAATAAATATGTGTTTATTGTAATACAATTTTTGTTATAGAATCAGCTATATATATAATATTTGCTGTTGCCTCTCCCATAATATTTATTATTTTTAAAGCCCTGTTCAACATTGATTTTACATTGCACTCTGAGCAAATAATGTTATTTTTTTTTAGTTTTATGCAGTGATGTGTGCAGCTTATACAATCTTGGCTTTCCTTTGGCTTCTCATGATGGCTTGTCAACGGAGAGATATGCTTCGAATTCAGTTCTGGATTTGTGGAGTTGTTCTATTAGGTAATGTTAATACTAGTTTCAGAGAGTATTATGTGTTTCCATAAACCTTTAGTCATGTGAAAAATATCAAATCACCATTATGGTATAGGCTAACACCAAATTCAAACCTTAGGTCATATTCATATTGGAATCAAAAATCATTTTCCATCATACAGAACCAGTGGTTTTACGAAATATTCCACTTTTATGTATTTTTAAACAATATGTGTCAAAGACAAGCCAAACCAGTCATTCGTTGCAAATCATGTTTCGGAGAAAATTGCCAAAACATGCTGGAATGTCAAATTTTTAAAAATACACTTTATTGCACTAAACTATCATTTCTATATTTATACATCATGTTGTGCTGCTATCTTCCCCATTTTCAATCAAAAAACTTTTTAAAGATTTGATAATAGTTTCTGCATGAGAAATGCCCGAAATCATAAACTTTGAAGGCTGATTTCTCATGTATTGTTCTTCAAACAGCAGCATATTTAAATGCTTATAACTTCATAAGGAAATGTTGGATATGAATGATTTTTTTTTCTATTTTATAGCCCTTATTCTACTCTTCAACCCTGTATTAAAAACGATTTTTGCTACGAGTGACTGTTTGGCTTTTCTTTGCCACATATTTATAGAGGAAGACCCTTCCTATCCTAGAAGTTTGGCTGAAATAGTGTGAAAGTCCGTTTATGAGGCTTAGAGAGTGGAATTGGTTTTAGTTGTGAGAAAAAAATCCTATGCTGTCACTGGATTTGAACCCAGGACCCTGAGATTAGATGGCAAGCATCCATTTTATACTTACATCCACAGTTTGTTTTCCTCATGGAGTGATGGATTATAGTAGTTACAGCCTTGTGGCATCACTCCTAAGAGGTAAACAAATCGTGGGTGGTAGGAAAAAATAGGTTTTGTACGACACAACAAGGAATGATCATTCCAATATATTATTGGACCTACTGTGTGGTTTAATTTTGTTGAGATGATACCATGGTAAAGGTAACTTTTTACTGTTCACCATTATTTTCATGCAGGTATGCCATGTGTGGAAAGTTGTATGTTGTCTGAAGATGTTTATAATAAATTATGCATCTATATTTTTTCCTTCTCAGTTAAATTATTTATACCATTGTTTATTGTGTTTGTTAATTACTTTAAGGTACTGGTCAGTGTTGAGCTGATAATGGTTAAAATATCATGAAATTAATTATTTGAATTGCTATCTCTGTATACAGCATTTGGGAAAAAACTTCAATATGCCTTTAAATGTCTTTCAAAATTGGCCATTCCACCTGCGATTCCAGAGATTACAGATAGTTTAACAAACAGTACATTTTAGAGCTGATACTGTATTCAAAATTAAATTGTAGGATTGAATGGGTAACTCTCAAAATAAGTCAACACGTATACTCGTGAACCATGTGTGTTGATTAATTCTGTAATTACCTGTCTTCGGTGATGCGTCAGGATTATTTATTGGAATGTTCCATTTTGCTACAGACAGATGAGATCTTTGGTACTGTACCCTGTTAGACGCTGTAGACGTACAGTACTGATAAGCCAAGGTAACTTGGCTTATCAGTACAGTACTGATAAGCCAAGTTACCTTGACTCTTATAAGGGATGGTGCCCATTTTGTTCTATATGGGAACTTTATACTAAACTGGTTTCTAAACCAGTTGCATGACATAATTCACTCATGTTCATCAAACACAATCACAAAGCAATTTTAAATTGCTTTGTTATTGTGATTGAGATTCGTTAACTCATCTCACTATTTGAGAGCGTAAACTTGACAGTGTATAGAATTTTAATTTATATACCAAATTTTATACAGGTCTTTTGGAGAAAGTATTATTTTACTCAAAATATCACCACATAAACTCAACTGGCTATGCATCTCCTGCGACTCTTGTGTTTGCTGAGTTGGTGTCCTGTCTAAAACGAACTGTTGCCAGGATGTTGATGATAATTATCAGCATGGGATTTGGAATCACTAAGTTAGTCATTCATAAACTTTGTGCTAAAATCTGCCCTGAAATTGGAGCCCACCTTTGGGACCAGAAAAAAGGGCCGCGCTAGCGGGTGTGGGTGTCCGAGGTGGGGGGGAGGGGTGGGGAGGACCTTTTTTGAGGACCAGGATCTGGGAATTTCCTCGTTTGGTGAAAAATCAAGTAAAGTACAATTCAAGTACAATTCAAGCATAACTTTTATTAAGCATACTTAATACGTTTGAGGGATTAAAAAATGTTTGTGAGCAGTGCCATCGTAAGTGCAAGCTGTTGTATGCTATTGCGATTGTATGGGTTGCAGTGGTGGCACAGGCTCTTCCCCGACAGGAGGACTCTTAACTTGCATGGTTTATTTTTTTTAAATAAAGAATCCCATATAACAAAATTTTATTCTTATTATTTTTTTTTGGATTAAATTTCTCAAGGGGGAGGGGGGAGGTTGGACCCCCGTCGGGGAATTTTCTTCCTGAAAATTTGGGGTGGTCCTGGGGTTGGGTCTTGACATATATACTACAGTAGCTTAGGGAATAGATTGAAGATTGTTATTTGGTTCTTAGAAAAAGTTTCGTCTTGAGTAGGGAAGTCTTGGAATTGGTGGGTGCATTACTAATTTATGAGCTTTAAAAACAACAGCCTCTTTGAACTCCTTTGAGATTTATCATAGAGCAGTGTTTATTGTTTAGGGGTTTTGTAGACACTATCAGCAAAGTGCTGTATTTAACCTGATGATCTGAATCTTTTTACTCTAATGTACTTATGATATAGGATTTTACCTTTGCTCCACCATCAACCCCCATCCCCCATTTCAAGACTTCTAGATACGCCACCTGTTTTTGATGGCAGTCTTTTGAAAATACAATATGAAGGAGCCACATAACCTGTCTGTATTATGCAATTGTAGTCAAGTTCTGAGAATGCTATAGAAAGTTCAGTAGAAGCCAAAGCATCCATTATTTTCTGAAAATAAGCTTCTATATTTCGATAGTGTGCGAAATAAATTGACAATGAATAATTATTTATAAGCCAGTCTCGGAGTTTCCAAGTCTCCTGCAACTTGCGGGAGTTCATGAGATATTGAGACAGCCTCTTTCACTGCCTCAAAAAGGAAAAAAACCTCCCAGAAACTAACCCATCTTCTGCAAATTCATTACTGTATATGAAATTAGTGCCTTCTCATAGTTAGGATAGGATAGCAAAATTACATACATGAGAAAGTGATGATGTCACAATTGACTTAAACAACAATAATTATTATGTTGTTATTATAATTCCATTGCATGTAGACCTCAGTTGCATCGTGTAATTGGCGTTGGATTCCTGTTTTTCCTGCTCAGCGCTATTGAAGCTTTTCTAGGTGTGCAAGGGGTAGGTGCTGAATGAATGCACTGCTATCGGCAGCATTTATTTTCAATACATTAAAAATACATCTGAAAATTGTTTTTAGTACACTACAGATGTGTAAAGAATCAAGTTTAATGTAAGGGATTTGAACTGAAAATGCCATTTACAACTGAGAAAGAGAACAAATAGATTCAATTTTATAGTATTAACTCTTCCAGGTGGTACAAAATATATCAATGAATTTCGTAATCAATACTTTAAACAAGTGTTAATATTTTTGTACTCCTTAACATTTTGGTAAGAATTTTGAAGCATTTAAACTTAAGTGAATAATTTGCGTTGATTTAATCAGAGGGACACATTTCAGTGTTTAAGAATGCATTTATGATTTAACCTTTTCAGAGTGTGCAACAGCAGCTAGTGGCTAGCATTCCTCTTGCAGTTTTGGATTTAGTTATTTGTCACTGGATATCCTTTTGAGAATGTTTTAATTGAAAAGATAAGCTATAAGCCTGTTTAACTCCAGTACTTACAACAATTTTGAATGAATTTGGAAATTTTCTAACACAAAAAATGAAGGTTTACAAAATTAAACTTTGAATTGGCCATTTTGTTGCTTTAGGAAAGTTATTCGCTTTTGATCCAAAAATCGAACGAAAGTCAATCAGTTTTGTTAATTAGCAGATAAATTAGTTAGAAAAATTCTCATGACTGTTGTATTGCGAAGGTTGGAAGAAAGCTAGTTGAAATTCAGTTTGCTTCACTAATTATGCATATGCATGAGATATCTGGGGTTGTTATGGAGATATCTGATAAGAGAAGAGGTTTGTTGACAATATGTTTACGCTCTTCCTCATCGCGAGTGAGCTAGCCGTGATAGAGAACCAATGGATTATTTGGTACTTTTACTACAGTAGGCTCACGTTTTATTAGCCCCATTTTATACAATTAGTAGAATTGAATATAGGAATATTGGTTGTCCTAAAAATAAATTGCCTCGTATCTTGGCCTACTGCCAGACTTCTAGTCTTGGGCTAAGACTTATGCCTAAGCCAGAAAGCCGGCTCCGGTCTAGGCTTCAGTCTGGCTTGGTCATACATTAAATTATGAGGCCCAGTCTTCTACGCATCATCTATATTTGTTTACTTTGATACGACATCCATTGAGAGAATATTTTGTATTCTTTTCTAGGAAATTTCGTCTAGGCCCTACCTGTATTAATAAATAATTATACCTAAGCCAAGGCTAGGCACTAGTGTACACTACATAAGATTATTAGGCCTAGGCCTAGTCCTAAATAGATTAAATTTAATCGCGCAGTGTGCAGAGATAAAGATAATACTGCTCTGCTGTAATTATTATGATGGTTGATGTGTTTGCAATATGTATTCAAGTTGTTTGATGTCATTTTCCCGCTTGCTCGGCCATGTTGTGAGAATGGATGATGGCCGGATACCAAAGGACCTCCTGTATGGAGAACTGGTACAAGGCAAACGCCCCACAGGCAGATCACAGCTCAGATTCAAAGATATTTGCAAGAGGGATTTGAAGGGCATGAAATTTGATATGAATACCAGGGAAACCTTGGCTTCTGAATGTTCGGCTTGGAGACAGGCCGTGAAACGAGGCCTTCCACATTTTGAAGAAACACTTGTACAACAAAATGAAGCAAAGAGACAAAGACAAAAGGCCCGGAACCAGGAAGCCGGATCAGTTACAGACCACATCTGCTCCCAGTGTGGAAGGGATTTTCACTCCCGAATCGGTTTATACAGTCATACTAGACGATGTTTCGGAAACACCATCCAGAGTGCGACTTCATAGTCTTTCAAGACTGAAGGATGCCATACAATTATCTTAGGAAATAAAATTATTTAATGTTTAATTTAAAGTTTCAATATTTACTAGCAACAAAATATTTTCCACTTTCAGAATTAGGACATACAGTAAATGTTACATAAGTTTCACTCTAGAATTGGAAAAAAATTAAATATATCATCAAGTACAGTACAGTATGATCATAATAATAATACATATTTTTTATGTTTGATTACATAACTTTAATCTAGCTTCAAATTGAGCAGGTCAAATTAAAAGAATTGTTTTTAAGATTATTTTTCTTGGGGAGAATAATTCCTGAACATCATAATTACATTGTCTGCTAAAAATTTCTGTCTTCAGATTCACTGGCACAGGAAAAATTGAGGACAATTATTTGTGAACTTCATAATTACAATTTAAATTGTGTGCTAATAATCAGATTCACTAGCACAGGGCTATCTTGGTCCCATATCTAGGCCTAAATTTTAATAAGCCTAGCTTAATAATATCAATAATAAATAAGACAGGGTAGGCCTAATAGTGTACCTACAGAATTATTAAGACAGTATGGGGTAGGCTACCTACAGAGTAGGCTAACAATAGCTATCGTTACTGACTGGCCCAGGCCTAAAACAGCATGGATGACCCTCTCTTATGGCTAGGGCCAAGTCCGGTTGTATTTTGTAAACTCGCCTATCAAGCAAAAATGTTGCATTATTAGCATTTAAAACTTTTACTGAAATCCTATATTTCAAAAGTACCACTATTATCACTATTTTCTTCTAGTTCCTTCTTTTGCATCTTTCTTTCTAGCTAGCTAGCTAGCTAGGCCCTCACACAGCTCAGAGGCCTGACAACTCGCTCGCGATTGTTTACACAAACCAACTTGTCGATGTCAAGAGTCATATGCTAAAGTATCAATTTCGCATATTTATTAGCTAAAAACCGGAAACACTTGGCGCTGTCACCCCCTTGGCCCTTCCATTTTCTGTTTCGTAAAACATGGTGTAACTATAGTAAATTATTTTTTTTAGATAAATTTTTTTATTCAAAGTGAATAACTATTGTGATGATCCAAAATGGCCAATTTAATTTCAAAATATATATTTTAAATATTTTTTTTATTTTCACTAAGGGACAATACAACTTTAAAATAGTGATGAGATAATAAAATCTTTTAGAAAAACCTATGAAGATTTTAATCCAATACCTTCTGATTACTATTTTGATACTCTAGCAACTGAGCTATGAGGCAAAATGATAGGCCAAGGTATTGCATAATGCATGCAATGTACCAAAGTACATGATTGATAACTCTGATATGGAGGTACACTGCTATCACCTTTATTCCAAGTAGAAGTGTATCTTATAATATCCAAGTTTGCTTTTAAAACTGTGAATTAGAATTAGTGATCATTTCAAAACTTAGAAGAATGGGTTGTATTTACAGGTCTAAGAAATTCCCTGCCAGTTTCCACTCCAATTTTTCACCTCCACTCCCAGCTTCCCTTCACAGCTGTATCAGCTATAAAAGCCAATGGCACGTGAAGTTAATAATGCCTATTGTTTCTTTTCGATTTAGAAAGTTACTCCACAAGTTTATTTTTGGTTCTGTGTCAATCATAGCATATTTCAAATTTGTCAAAAATAGTCCAGTATTCTATTAACATTATTTTTTTATGTTACATCCAAGTTATAAATACATTTGATGATCTATATAAAGAAATTGTCAACCTTAACAGTGAATCCACATATTTACCAATTTGAGAACTTTGAGACTACGTCGCAACGTTGCCCACCTTTGGTTTTACCGCCATTTTACAAATGCACTCATCTTCTACATCATTGCCGCCGTGATTTTTGCAGTGTGGACTACAGAACAACACGAAGTAGCTCTATGTGTAAGTGTAAGTACAAGACAATTTTTAAATCAATTTCAACACCTAATGCTCCTATAATTTTGGGCATACAAACAAATGTTGGTCAAACTTGGTCTGATATGTTGCTTACGTTTCAGACATATCTGTATGAAACAATGTGTTACAATCTTGGTTTAAAGGAAAAAGTATACCTGTATATTTGTTTTTTGCCACAAAGAAAAATAGATTTTCAAGATTTTGTGTTGGTTAGGCTTGGGAAACACAAAGTTTTTTCTTTTTTTCTTTTTTATTAATTGCTATAGTGCTCTTAATTTATCAAAAGTGTGAAAGCATTTCTGACAGAACATATGGCATATCTGACAGAACATATGGCATATCTGACAGAACATTGGCATATCTGACAGAACATATGGCATATCTGACAGAACATATGGCATATCTGACAGAACTTTAGGTTCTGTCAGACATGGTATTTTATTTTATGTGACAGAACAGTTTACAATGTGATTTGCTAAAATATGTGTGGGTATGAGTAATTCTCGTCATCCCAAAATTTAAAACAAATACATATGGCAAAAGAAAATTCGCCTATGCTGCTTCATCGCACGAATTGCCACTCTCTATCAAACTGTCTCCCTCTATTGATGTATTTAAGTAAAAACTGAAATCCCATCTTTTTAACTCTTTTTAGTCATCCCCACTTCTCATTTTAAATTTTTAAAATCTTTCTTTAGTTGTACTCTCTGCACTTGTGATTATTTATTTGAAATTAGCGCATTATAAATATTTTATTATTATTATATATGATAAGTCAGAACAGTTTACAATGTGATTTGCTTATAATGTGTAGGTATGAGTCAGAGAAGTTTACAATGTGATTTGCTTATAATGTGTAGGTATGAGTCAGCAGTTTAAAATAGAATATGTCTGATACTTAACTTATTTTCAGTGAACTTAAATTAATGTTTTAGTCTAAATATATATCTTTTCACTTTATAATCATCAATGATAGCAATATCAGTTTACATGTGAATATTGAATGAAGTAAAAACCTATTTGACCTTAATTTTCTAAAATTTCTGTAGGAATGGAACGACCTTTGGTTAGACGATGCTTACTGGCATATTCTCTTCTACATCTTCCTTGCGGTAATCATTATTCTCTGGCGTCCTACTGCTCACAACCAACGCTATGCATACTTGGCTCGCACTGATGCATTAAAGGATGAGGAGTCAAAGGAGCCAATGATTCCAGAATCGTTTGGTTAGTTTTATGTAAACAATTTTTTTAAATTCTAAATTTTAAATTTAAACTGAATATGCACCAAGTCAACTCGGTCCAAAGAAGTCAACTCTGCCCTAGTAAGTTTGACACCAAGGAAATTATTATTTTTTTTTTTTAAATGCTTAAAATTGGTAGAATGCCAGCATCAGTGTATTCTGCCGTGGATATTTCTACTTTATAAATCCCTGTTGATTGATTAATTGAAGTTCCTAGAATCCGTAATAAACTATAGAAATTGAACCATCAGTTTTGAAACAATAAACTGACAAAAATATGTACAAACTTCAGTGTGCATTCACTTGTTGCAAAGTGAATGCACATGCATTGAATATTTATGCTGCATTCACTAGAACTTGTGAAAACTGATCTCACAACTTGTAACATGCAGGAAAAGGAGAAGAGTGCATTCATTTCACAAACACTAAAATGGCATTTTGTTTTCCTATTCGGGATTTTGACAAGTGCCCTTACGTGGATGTGCTCTTTCGCCTAGACCTATCTTACTGTATGTAAAAAATGCTTGAATTAGGACTTCGTAAAGTGCATTCAGAACGTTATATACAGTGTAAATCATGAGGTTGCAAATAAAGCATACAAGAAACTACTGTCCAAGAAAAACTGTTTGTAGAATAAATTTTTTCAAAGCATGATTTTCTGTGGCAGTAAACATGGGGCTCATAAAAAGTAATAAAAAAATAATTTAGTCAGCAAAATATTTTTCTATACATCACGCTAATTTGCGCGCTGTGTTTGGATGAGCTAAATTGTTAATGAAAGCTCTTAAACTTGTGTTTTCCAAGATTAGACAAAGCTTTCAATGCTGACACTGCTTACTATGCTTTCTGGAAGTGCATTTCAGTCGCTGATGGTGGAGACGAAGAGTGAGCGCTCTTGATTTGTGCATTTGTTGCCTGAATTTCTGATTGTGTCCCCTGGGTACATGAGTGTGGATGGACATACCTGTGAAATGGATATCGACAAGCCCATTTTGCATCTTGTAAAGCATTCCAAGTTTTTGATGTGTTCTGTTTTCTAATGTGTTTCATTTCAATTCGTCAAGGAAGCAGGAAGCAGGTAACTGTACCTTCTTTGGAGTATTCTTTTTACAAAAACAAGTTACTTGGCGCTGCACATATTTTTTATAATGGAAAAATCCCATATACTTGAAGCATACTCTAGAAAAGCTCAAACTGTACTCTTGTAAGCAGTTACCTTCACATCTTCAGAGATTTCTCCTGATGACATTTTTGTTCTGTTTTCTAATGTGTTTCATTTCAATTCGTCAAGGAAGCAGGAAGCAGGTAACTACCTTCTTTGGAGTATTCTTTTTACAAAAACAAGTTACTTGGCGCTGCACATATTTTTTATAATGGAAAAATCCCATATACTTGAAGCATACTCTAGAAAAGCTCAAACTGTACTCTTGTAAGCAGTTACTTTCACATCTTCAGAGATTTCTCCTGATGACATTTTGGATTCTCTGAGCCTTGTTGATAGTGGCTTAGATATGGGTGTCCCAGCTGAGTGTGTTTGAGATTTGTACTCCGAGGCAAGGAAAAGAAGAGACTGGTAAGGGTGTACAACAAACAATCGTCTGCAAAAAGCCTGGTCTGTGAAGGTCTGTGACCTGCCCAACAACGTTGGGCAGGTTATTGATATAAAGTAGGAACCAGAGTGGCCCAAGGATCGTACATTGAGGCACACAGGATATTACTCTTGCTGAATCAGATGACTGGCCATTTATGGCAACTTGTTAGCTTCTACCGGAAAGGAAATTATTAACCCACGTGGCTATTTCCCCACTTAAACCATAGTATTCTAATTTTGATATGACTGCGATGGGGGCGAAATGAGAGAACTTATCAAATGCTTTGGAAAAATCGAGCACTGCTGCATCTACAAGGTTGCTTTTGTCCAATTCCCCACTAATATCTGGTATGGATAGTAGCTAGTGTCCTCCCAATGGAAATTTTTTACTAGTAAATTTGTCCATATAGAACCAGCTAAGCATGCGCAACATGAGGTATTGAAGTTCAATGGCTTAAAAAAACAATACATAATCATATCCTAGACTTGGACGGGAATGATGTTCGTTTACTGAAAGGAGCCAAATTTAGACTACATAGGGCTGATAAGTGCTTTTTTAAATTTTACCAACACGATTTTTACTAGTTGATTAGTTATTTTTACTGGGGAAATGCTAGTAAAGTATATGATTAATTTACCTTGATTGGTACTAAATTGGCCAACAGGTCTAACACTAATGATGACCAGATTTTGCCGACAGGTAATATAAATACAGATGACTGTCAAGTAAATGCAGATATTTCATCTGACAATGAAGATATTTACATTAATAATAGTAATTTACATTTTCTTAATAATAATTATAAAAGACAACAACAACAGCACAAACAACAGTAATGATAATAAATTTATTTTTGAAGAATTAACTGCCGATTAGGTATATAGTCAAATTTTGAAAATTCCCAATAAAAAATCTCCTGGTTTATGATGAAATTTGTACAAAATTGCTAAAAATTGCTGCTCCTGTCATATGCTATTCTCTGGTTTTTATTTGTAACTTGTCTTTGATTACATCAGTTTTTCCAAATGAATGGAAAGCAGCAAAGATAACACCAATACATAAGACTGGAGACAAATCTAAGACTGAAAATTATTGCCCTATTTCTTTATTATGCATTGTATCTAAGATTATTGAGCGTGCTGTTCACAATCAACTATATTTGTATTTTATGTCTCACTATTTATTAAATCCCAGTCAATCCGGTTTTAGAAAAAAATCATTCAACTACTACCACACTTTTAGATTTTATTTTAAATAATATGGATGAGGGATATGTCATTGCTGCCTTGTTCCTTGATCTTAAGAAAGCTTTTGATACCATTGATCATAATCAACTTCTTATTAAACTGGAGGAGCAAGGCTTCAGTGGCAGTGAACTGTCTTAATTTACTTCCTACTTAAGAGATAGAAAACAAACAGTTAAGATAGGAAGTAGCATTTCTCGTTTTAAGTCAATTAATATAGGTGTACAGTACCACAAGGCTCAATTTTGGGCCCTTTGTTATTAATTATTTATGTAAATAGCCTTCCACAATGTGAAGCCTGTAAAACTGTTATGTATGCAGGTGATACTACTTTGCTTTTTCTTTCACTTGATCCTGTTTCTCTCCATAAAAGATTAAGACATTAACATACATAATATTTAAAAAATGACTTTATAACAATAACTTAACATTAAATATTAATAAAACCAAGTTTATGCTTTTTGGTACACCTACTTCCTACTTAAGAGATAGAAAACAAACAGTTAAGATAGGAAGTAGCATTTCTCGTTTTAAGTCAATTAATATAGGTGTACAGTACCACAAGGCTCAATTTTGGGCCCTTTGTTATTAATTATTTATGTAAATAGCCTTCCACAATGTGAAGCCTGTAAAACTGTTATGTATGCAGGTGATACTACTTTGCTTTTTCATTCACTTGATCCTGTTTCTCTCCATAAAAGATTAACATTAACTTACATAATATTTAAAAAATGACTTTATAACAATAACTTAACATTAAATATTAATAAAACCAAGTTTATGCTTTTTGGTACACCTATGAAACTTGATAGATTTAGCAAAACGTTAATGTATGATAACCATTGAAAAAGATGATCAATTGAAATATCTTGGTATTGTTTTTGATAGCCGTTTGAATTGGAATCATCATATTGAGTATCTTTCTTAAAAAATTGCAAAACATTGTGGTATTATTCACTGTGTTAAAGTTTAATTACCAAATTCTGCTCTCAAAATGATTGGTGAGGCTCTAATAATGCCTCATTTCGATTATTGTAGTCAAATTTGGACAAACTGTAATAACACTCTTATGTCAAAGATGCAAAAGCAGCAAAATCGATTTGCATATTATCAGTCGATTAGAACTCCAGTGGATGATATGATGATTACTCTTCATTGGCTTATACTAAATGATCGATGGACAAACCAGATTATACTTACAGAACAGTGTTCAAATGTTTAAATGGTAATGCCCCTGAATTTCTGTCTTCTAAATTCACCTTCACCCACTCACTGAATGGATACCACCTGGTTAAAGAAAGCTTAAATAAATATGTAATAAATATGTTACAATAAGGATAGGAATGGTAATTTATTACAATTTCCAAGTTGCAAACATGCAAACTTTAACTCTATTTTTTCTCCAAAAGTGAAAATTTCAAGCTACATTGTTTTGCCACAGAATGGCCATGTAGCAGTGTGAAAAAGTAGTTGTTAAACACAGCAAGCAAGCTAAATTTATTGGTTAAACATAAATAATGTAATCTTATATTATGTTCTAGCCTTTTCCCATTTAAATTAAAATATTTTTCATAAAATGTTAAGATTGGTATGAATAAACACCTCCACAGCTGAAAGAGTATCTTAAAAGTAATCAGAATGTCTTGGGTATGAATCTTGATGGGGAAAATATCTTCTTCATTTTTAGAGGGGACGAAGTTGCGAAATATCAACCGCCCTGATAATTCAGTTTCCACAAAGTTTGAAGGTGACCTGAAGTGGGTTGAAGATAGTATTCCAGCGTCTGTAGCAAATACGTAAGTACATTTCAAATAATTAGGATTAAGATAATATTCCATGGTCTTTAGCAGTTACGTAAGTACATTTTAAATAATTAAGATATTAAATATTCCTGGGTCTATAGCAGATACTTAAGTGCATTTTAAATAATTAAGATAATTAAGATATTAAATATTTCAGGGTCTGTAGAAGACATGTAAGTAAATTTCAAATAATTAAGATATTAAATATTCAAGGGTCTGTAGCAGATATGTAAGTAAATTTCAAATAATTAAGAATAATTAAGATAAATAATATATAAAATATTCGAGGGTTTGTTGCAGATATGCAAGTACATTTTAGATAATTAAAATAATTAATTTTGTATATTTTTATATTGTATCTGAATAAATTAATAATATACCAGCTCATGTAGCAGATATGTAAGTAAATTTCAAATAATTTCAGGTTTGGTTTTGTAGCGGATGTCAAGTCATTATGGAATTAAAATTAATTTTTTTTTTTTTGAGGCAGCAGTATATATTTAAATAGGAATATTTTGCATTTTATTACTATATTATAATATCAATTGTAACCAGTACAGGGGTCCCAATTTTGAACAAGCGAATGGCGTGACGACTGTAAGCTCTTAGGAACCCAAGCTCCGACCGAACCCCCACTCAAAATGGTCTTCCTACTAGCACTTTAAACCCGACCCTTCACAGTGGCATAACACCTGTGTGCTTTCGGGGGCTAACACCCATGTTTGAAGAAGTATTGTCCCATGCTAAATACCAAAAAAATCATCAAAATATTCTTTGAAATTAACTTGCCCATTTTGAAGTAACATAAAAGTTATCAACTTGATAGAAATTTGTGTATTTAAAAAATGTCTACCCATCAGTTTACAGCAAAAAATGATAGAGACACTTCCAGTCACTGGAATTTTATAGGTGATCCGCTACTCGAGCTGATCACCTATTGTTATTGTACTGGATCATCATCTTTTTTTTAATTATTATTTCTTTCTCCCCATTTCTTGTTCGTACGATATCTCAAAATTGCTATGAGCTACACACATGGCCACTTCATCAGTGTAAACATTTTTTAAATTCAATAATTTCTATGCACAAGTTAATAATAATTTGTATGCTATTGCAATATAAGCAAGTTTATTTAAGAATTACTTTTTATTGATTTTTTGACATTAGCAAGGGACAATACATCTTTAACAATAAGGTAAATTTGTTTAAATTTTCAATCATCCATTGTGCCTCGGCTGGTGCATTTCACCCACCCCAGAATCCACCTTCGGCCTTAAACATCTATAAATAAAGGAATTAAATACAGTAAATAATTACCCATCTTAGTAGGCCTATTAATAAATATAAAAACATTATACAAAATATGTTAAAATGGATTAAAACAATTTATATAGGCCTACTAATAATTTGGATATTTTGATGATAAAGGCCTACTATCAATTTGACCATAAAGAAGGGTCATTTGATTCAAATTGGCCTAATCTTATTTTCTTATTTCAGAGAGTAGCATAACTTGTGGTACCGAGTGACACTTGAAAATTAGTTTGTTTTGGAGTAGAACCATGATATCGTGCTTTCCTCTTTCTTGACTTTCTTTTCTTCTCTTATTTATATAAATTCTGTAATTTACTGTACTCGCCACTAGCCACTTCTGGGTTTTTAAACACATCTAATTTTTTTTGCTGTGCCTGGTGATACCTTCGGGATTTATTCTGGGACAGTGGGTATTACAGAAAAAAACAAGAAAATATCTTAAAAGTTATACATGTAGGACATGGGTCATTTGAAGTTACAGGACATGGGTCATTTTAAAGTTACAGTACATGGATTATTTTAAGTTACAGGACATAGGTTATTTTAAGTTACAGGACATGGGTTATTTTAAGTTACAGGACATAGGTTATTTTACGTTACAGGACATGGGTTATTTTAAGTTACAGTACATGGGTTATTTTAAGTTACAGGACATGGATATTTTAAGTTACAGGACATGGGTTATTTTAAGTTACAGTACATGGGTTATTTTAAGTTACAGGACATGGGTTATTTTAAGTTACAGGACATGGGTTATTTTAAGTTACAGGACATGGGTTATTTTAAGTTACAGGACATAGGTTATTTTAAGTTACAGGACATGGGTTATTTTAAGTTATAACATAGAGGGCGCTTACATGAAGCGGTAACAGACTCAAACAGCTCCGTCAGAGATTTTAAAAAAACTGCGATTTTTCCCCTCGTAATGACTAATAGTTCAAACTGACTCAAGGAATAACTACAATTAATACTTTAAAAGGCTCATCAAGCTTTAAAATTGACAGAAAATCAAAAATGGGTAAGAAAAAACCTGTAACTAATGTATCACCACCAACATCCCCGGAAAACAAACCGGAAACTGACGCACCCGACGATCCCATGACCACTATGACCGAGTTGAAGCGGGAATTTCAGTCGATGCAAAAACGGGACGGTGAACTACACGTCAAGATCGATCAAATAATCCTAAACCAAACTGCTATACTGGAAAGGATAAACTCAATTGAACTGAAATACAGTGAAATTGAGAATAGTCTTACCTTTACTACGGAGAAAATCCACTCATTTGAAACGATAATCGACGAGTTTGAAACCAAAATCACTAATGTGACGGAATCGACTAGGAGTGATCGTAACCGGCTGTCAATACTTGAAGGGGAAATCCTAAAAATGGAACGATATTCGAGATCCTTTAATTTGAGATTTGGAGGAATACCTGAACGAAACGATGAGGATCCTATGAAAACGGTACGTGATATAATAAACCATAAACTGAACTTACCTACGACAATAATAGAAAATGCACACCGAACTGGTAGACAGGCGATGGGAAAACCGAGACACATAATCGCTAAATTTATTCATCGGCCACAAAGACGAGAGGTGCTAATACGTGCAAAATCAGTTCTACGATCGTCGGATATGTTTGTTACCGAAGATCTACCACAGGCGGACGTGATAAAGAAAAGGAGTCTCAAAATTATCATGGACCAGGCATACAAGGAGGGCAAAAGACAGGTGTTTAAAAACGGTAATCTCTATATCAGCGGTAAGCTATACAGTGGTTTATCGGTCAGCGGATCGTAATACTATTCCCGTTCCGCATACCGCATAACTTGACCGCATACCATGATACCTCTGAAATAATACGATGATTAGTGAGTTAACAAATAGTTACCTTTGAATTGCCATAGGCCTGCGTTAGGTGAATTTATCACTTGCAACTCATTGAAATGATATTTGTGTTTATTATTAATTGAATATCGTAATCCTACAATCTTAACTATTCATTAAATCTCCTGACAGAGTTAGCGACGGAACGTGTTAAGTAGTAGCACCGTCTTGACTTATTTGCATTGTAATTTTATCATTTATCTTTCTTTCCTTTACCTATTGTATTAAATGTCTTTTGTTACACAATTTAATAATGATGATGACAGCTTCGGTATAATTGTACCAAATTATACCGAAAATAACTATATGGATATTGATGATTTCAAAAGCAAACATTGCGATGACTTGGGCGACTCCGGTTATTTTTCAATCTTTAAACATATAATTCTTTTACAGAATCTTTTACAGCACTGATTGATCGCTGTTTTCCTTTCAAAAAAATCAGATTAAAGACCGATAGAGTAAGATCACCCTGGATGACAAATGGTATCGAAAAGTCACTAAACACTAAAGAAAAACTGTATATTAAATATAAAAAACATCCAACAAATGCGAATAAATTAAAGTATAAGAATTACAAAAACAGGCTAACAACAATTATTAGACAAAGAAAGATTAATTACTACAAAGACGATTTTGAAAAACGAAAAAACAACATAAAAAAAACATGGAACGCTATTAATGCCATTTTGGGAAGAAACAAAACATCGAGCCTCCCAGAACGAATGAAATTAAATTCTCAGTCATTCGAAGCACCCTCTGATAAGGCGGAAGCATTCAATTCCTATTATATTACAGGGGTTTATTTAAGAGCCGGCGGCCGGCGCATTCGATCGGCTACTACGATGTTTTCGCCGGCTACTTCAATCAATGCTGTACAAAAATTAATACAAAAACCACCAATATAAATAGCGCAACAGGCCTGTAAAGAACCTTATTTACCGACATGAAGTTAATTTGCAATAGTATGCACTCATTTCGATGTTCATTTCTGTTGAAAGTTCGTTAAAATGTCTACTAATTTTCAGACTCCATGTTTGACTTTCATGAACTCGCGGCGTAAACAAAGTTAAAGTTCAAAGTTCGACAGTCGCGTCTGGGTGAGTCCATCAAAGAAGCCACGCCTCCAAATCACATGTTAGCCAATAAGATAATAGAAATTTCTCCTCCACCACGTGGTGGTGACGATATACATCACCCAAACTCTTTTTTCCGTACATTGGGCTTCCGGGTTTTCTTACCGCCGAGAAGAAAAAGCAGATCGTCATTTTAAAATTAATTTGTGTATGATCGACTATGAACCTTTTATTTTCATTTCATTTTTGTTTTACTAGCCCTCTTTGTAATGACATAGATATTTCGGAAATGATAAATAATATAAAAAAAACCAACACTGGCTCAAATTCGTTTACACTCAGTCAGGGGCGGAGGTGGTGACGATATACATCACTCAAACTCTTTTTTCCGTACAGTAACATTGGGCTTCCGGGTTTTCTTACCGCCGAGAAGAAAAAGCAGATCGTCATTTTAAAATTAATTTGTGTATGACTATGAACCTTTTATTTTCATTTCACTTTGTGATGACATAGATATTTCGGAAAAGATAAATAATATAAAAAAAACCAACACTGGCTCAAATTCATTTACACTCAGTCAGGGGCGGAGGTAGCAAGCCGAACCAATTAGAATGCTGTTTACATTCACAATTTCAGAGTCATAGAAAGTACAATGATTAAAACGACAGAGCAAGCCAAAATCGTCTCAATTCACATCACATGAAATATTTTTTTCCCAATGTGGTATCCATTCCTTTTTAATGTCTACGTAAATTTTAGAACTATTTTTTGCTCTCCTTAGATGTTTCCTTCAACGCAGATCTACTGTAGGGCATAGGCCTATATGGTGAATCCCCACAAATTTCAACATGTTTGTGAAAAGTAAACAACTTCATCAATATAAAAATTGTATTTTCAATTTATTTTGGTGGATTTTATTAAATTAAAAGGAATGTATTTCAATTATTGAATCAATATTCTGACCTTAAATTCCGATGTTGCTCGAAAAATTCGTAAATTCTAGGCATATTCTAACCTGCTCAGTAAGTATACTAATCAAGGAGGTTCTGATCATCACTACATGTGATTGCACATGTGCAACCACTGTGCAGTGTATACTAAGAAGTTCAAATGGGAAACTTTTCCGTCCCATATGACATACCACGATGTTCAGTGATCATCAATCAATGTGTTTGAATCGATATTAGGCCTACAGGAAAATAATTTGTTAATAAAACATTGATAAACATTGTCCATTTTGTAGGATGCTTGAATACCATACAATTGTGGAATATCATATGAGTGAGTACATGTGTGTAAACTTGTCTCTTTCTTATCTGTGCCTGGCTGGGAGCAGCCAGCTAAGTCATGGTCCTAGCAACTGAGGTAGGCTGCAGGCTTATGGCGCCTAAGTCTGCCTAGGCCTAAATACTGTAGCCTACACAGTGGCTGTAGGCCAATCTAACCTAGGCCTAAACTCACGATACGATATTTTCAGCTATTGTATGATATTCCTCTCATGAATTAAATTTAGGCTTTTTGAGATTCGCGAAAGTTTAATGTCGCGAAAACGGCCGGAATTATCAATTCGCAAAAGTTTCTGGTTTACAGTATCTATTTAGGCTAGGTCTATGTATGAAGAATATGTAAAAATATCAACTTTTTTACAGCTTAGTAAATAATTCTGAAAACTGTTTATAAAAAAATGATGTATTAATGCCATCAAATGGGCTTAAAAACTCTAAAACCCTGGAATGCAATGGCGCTTCGCCCCACGAAAAAACAACATAAAAAAAACATGGAACGCTATTAATGCCATTTTGGGAAGAAACAAAACATCGAGCCTCCCAGAACGAATGAAATTAAATTCTCAGTCATTCGAAGCACCCTCTGATAAGGCGGAAGCATTCAATTCCTATTATATTAACATAGGCGAAGAAATGGCCGAAAAAGCAAATAAAATATATCAAGACACAAATCCTATGGATTATATGAATAAAAATAGTGTTCAAAATTCCATGTTTTTTACTCCTTTAACTGAGTATGATATTAAAAAATATCTATCGAATTTAAACTCAAACAAATCGCCTGGTCTTGACGATATTGATGCAAAATTTTTAAAAATGAGTTCAGATATATTAGCTATACCTCTAACTTATATGATTAACTTATCACTCACAACTGGAATTTTCCCGGAGAAGCTTAAACTTGCAAAAACTATACCAATTTTCAAAAGTGGAGCAAGGGATGACATGT